TGGGGAGAGAACCAGCATATGGGAGATAAGGCTCATTCATATTCATTCTCTCTCTCCCTCCCTTTCCCTTTTCCTCTTCCTCTCTCTCTGTCTCTTTCCCTGTCTGCTTTTCAAACGAATAATTTTTTGAAAGTGGAAAGAAACCAAGATAGTTCATAGTAGACACCATGAAAGGGAAGAGGTTCATTATGAAGGGATCATGCAGCAGAGAGCATGCAGAGAATGAAGGTAAAGGTTAACTTGAGAACATATCTGATAATCTTTGAGAATGAGATTTTAGGGGGACTGCGAAAGACAGTGGAATCATCAAGACAGTTTTCTGGAATGTCAGTTCTTAATTCTGACTTATTAACACCATCTACCAACTTCCTGTTACTGAACTTGGCACCTAGCCCACAATCTTCTAATTCTGCGTGACTTCAACATCTATATAGATAATTTCTCTGTCATCTGGTCTTTCAGTACAAAGACCTTTTTTTCCAGTGATCTTACTCTCCAGTCAAAGTCATCCACTTAACATAGTCTTTGTGATCAGATGAAATTGATGCATTTATGAAATTACTGATTCTCGCTTATTTAAATACTAGCACAACAAATACTTGTTTTTCAATTTTAATGTATCTGAGAGACAAAGAGTGAGCTTCCACATAGTGTCACATCTAAATGTCCTCAAGAGCCAGGGCTTGGCAAGGTCAAACCCAGAAGCTAGGAACTTATTCTAGGTCTCCCATGTGGGTGGCAGGGACTCAACTACTGAACCGCTGCTTGCACTCTCAGTGGGTACACATTAACAGGAGGCTGTAATCGGGGTCAGATGCAAGCATGCCAACTGGTGTCTTAAATGCTAGGCCAAATGCCCATCCCAGTGACTATTCAGGATTTTCATCTGACCCTCCTGTCTAATAATCCCTTTTTTTCTCTCTCTTAGCCTTTTATTCTCTGGTTTTTCTCTCCTCCAACTGTAGATTCCATGTTTCCTCATGTTAATAGCTCATCAATGCCTTAAATTGTTTTTCTCTTGATTTTTATTGTACCCTTTTGAAGCCATCCCATCCCTGGATGAACTCAGGGCCTGTTAAGAGAAGGAAAATTTCACAAACACATACTTTGGTACCGCTATAACTTCATATCACTTCCTGTCTCTCTGAGCCATCAGTACTACCTGGCAACACTAATATTTTCTGTGATTAACTTATCCTTTGACAAAGATTGTTTCAAAGCTTTGATTCCCCTCAGAGTTATGTTTTTTCTTATTCTTAGCACATGATGTCCTTTTTCACAAAATAAAAGCCATTAAAGCATAATTAGAATTTTCTGACATCAAAGCTTTAAGCTTGCCTGCAAGCACATCTAACCTTTCTTCCTTTAAGATTCAGTCCCTCCACCTGTCTTCTGTGTCCCATTTCCTACTTCCCATTGAATGTGCCTCTTTTCTCCTTCATTACCAATTTCTTCCTCATAACTGGCTCACATGAGTATTTACATATGCTCCAGTTCATCTAACCTTAAAAAATGAAATTAAATAGAAAAAGACCCTTCTTTGACTGTATTTCTTCTCTGGATACTTACCATTCTTTCTCTTTTAATTCTCATTCCACTTGGCCTCTCAGAAACTTTTAACAAAATTATCCAGGTTTCTTCCAGTTCTTTCTTCTTTTGTCTTCATTGCATCAGAAGCAATGGTTTTCTTTCTACTTCTCTAATGATATTGGGAAGTCACTGAAATGTTTTAAGCAGGGAAGCACCATCTTTAGTGTGCTGAATGAACCAAAAGGGAGAGGGTCTCACAAAGGAAAGCAGACCAGTTATGAAACTACTGTAGTAAACCAGAGATGGTATTTGCTTGTATTAGAGGTGATAATTGATTTGGAAAGATTTGAACAGATCAAAGGAAATTTGAGAGGTAATATTAACAGTTTTCTATGGATTAGATAGATGGAGTGAGAAAGCAGGATTTACCTGCTGTGGCTTAGACAACTGCGATAGTTGATCCCATGTACCAAAGAATAAAATCCTGGAGTAGGAGGAATTTTGGATGTTAGGCTGGGCAGAGATATTCTGCACATGTTGAATCTTAGGAACCTTTGAGATTCTGAATGGAAATGTGGAGGGAGAAGTTGGATAAAACACGACTGAATCTCAAAGCAGCTGCAGGTAGAAATACTGGAATGGTTCATATGCAAGTGGCAATTTAACTGAAGTCATTCATGTAAAGGAAACTATTTAGGGAAAAAGTTCTAAGCTTTGGGTATTGCACTTGAAGATTGATTCAGATAGAGTAAGTTGGCAAAGAAGAATGAAAATGTCCTATTTAGCAGTTCTAGGGAAGAGAATTAGAGGTTCTGGGCTTTGCTGTAAATGAGGAGCCAGCAAACATTTTCTGTAAAGGGCCATTTAGCAAAAAATTTTGGCTTTGTGATTGCTATGACCTCTGCTGTAGGTATTCAATTCTGCCATCATGGTATAAAAGTAACCCTGTACAAAAAATTAAAAAATGAATGTGACTATGTGCTCATAAAACTATAAATACTGAAAATATAATTTCCTGTAGTAAATCATTATTATTTTGATTTTTTCAAACCATTTAAAATATAAAATCCATTCTGAGTTTGTGGGCTGCTCCAAGATAAAGAGGGCCATTTTTAGGTTACTGACATTTTTAGCCTTACTCAGCCTTGGTATCTGAACCATGACAGATACTCAGTACATTTTTACATAGTGAATTAATGTTAAATAATTTATCCTTATTTGTGCTTTTAGAGGGGATAGGGCTGTGATGGAGGTGGGTTTCTTCTCTTCAAACCCTCTTAGGAAGAATTGATACTTGGAGGGGATGGATCATGTTTTTCTTTATAATTTAACTTTCAGTTTACTAAAAGGTAGCATAACATTTTGATAAACTATCCAGTTTCAGAACAGTGTTAAATTTCTAAGGATGCAGTGATGTTATTGATTGCAGAAAGGTAAAACTAAGTTCTAGCATTTCCTAGAATACATAGACTTTCGGGCATTGATTTTTTATTAATAACTGAGGATTTTAAGAACATCCCTGTGGAGAGTAAAACAAATATCTACACTTTTGAGAATCCTTATTTTCATTATTATTTGCCCTTGAAATTTTTTCTTTATTTAATCTTACTGATTTAAGAGCATAGTGATTCTGTGGAACATGGACTCTACTCAGATTGCTAGAATTTAGCATGAGAGATGGCCTGTAGACAAGAAAACAAGCATATTGATACATGAAGATGATCTGTGATATGTAACATGAAGGAAATTAACAGTTATAACATTACAGAATAATTATAAAGGAGGGGCAGGGATAGTTAAGATATTCAGATAATGTTACCTCAGGAAGTTATCATTTATGCTGAGACTTGAGTCATATAAAGAGTTCGATGGAGAAGTACCTGGATAGAGTGATAGCATGTGTGATGGCAGTGAATCCCATGAGTGTTAGATATTCTCCAGGGATTGAAAGATGTTTTAGGTGTAAATAACTGAAGATGTCTACATTCAGGTAGTCCTCAAATAGTTGGCCTTACAGAGATTAAAATATCCTGTTTTTTTTTTTTCTAAAAAATATGACAGTCTATACAAAAAATAGCTCATATGCATTGAGATTAAAACTGGCTAGGTCAGGGCCAGCGCTGTGGCACAGCAGGTTAAAGCCCTGACCGGAAGCACCGGCATCCCATATGGTCACTGGTTCTAGTCCCGGCTGCTCCACATCCGATCCAGCTGTCTGCTATGGCCTGGGAAAGCAGTGGAAGATGGCCCAACTCCTTGGGCCCCTGTACCCACATGAGAGATCAGGAAGAAGCTCCTGGCTCCTGGCTTCAAATTGGTGAAGCTCTGGCTTTTGTGGCCATCTGGGGAGTGAACCAGCGGATGGAAGACCTTTCTCTCTGTTTCTACCACTCTCTGTAACTCTGTCTTTCAAATAAATGAAAATAATCTTAAAAAAAAAAAAAAAACTGGCTAGGTTAAAACAAATGATTTCCAGTCTATTCTACTTTCCTTGAAAATTACTAAGCTCAAAGTGCCATGTATAGATAAATAATTGATAATAAACTAATGTAAATAATTGTTATACTAAAGACTATTTAGCATCAAACCTCAAATGTGCTGAAACAGTAATCAAAGTAGAAAATGGTTCCTTCATGAATAACTCAGTTAAGACTACAGTACAAAAATCCCAAATTCTCAAGTTTCACTGTAAGATGTCTTAAGAATAAAAAAGAAAGTTTACAGTAGAAATTGTGTGAATCATTGTCAGGTAGAAAAAGGTCTTGAAAGCCAAAAAGAGTGACAGAAATAGAATGAGAGTAGTATAGGAATCCTGATTAGGGTAAAGGAAGAGGGCCAGACAAAATAACTCAAGAAAAGGAGAGCACATTAGTAGTTTAAGGATGTCTAGTCTAGTAGCATTATTTTACATGGGGTTAAAACTTTAGACGTCTCTGCTTTTAGTTTTGGGAATATATGGTGGTATTCATTTTATTTTTAAATTTTTTATTGACATACACAAGTATTTAGAAGGGTGCAAGGTGATGTTCGATTTATGCATATATTATCTAGTGATCATATTAGAGTAATTAGCATATCTGTCACCTCAAACAGTTTATTTCATTGGGAAGAGAACCTTAAAAATCTTCTTGCTATTCTGAAATATAAATACATTGTTAACTGTGGTCACCTTGCTGTGCAATAGAACTTCAAAACTTGTTCTTCCTATCTCACTTCTAGATAGATGTTATTTTTTTTTTACCTATTTCTTACTCGTGAGAGGATCTAAATCAAAACTAACTATACTTGTGTCTTTTATTGTCTCTCCTTCTTTAAAACCTTTGTTTTTTCAATATTTTTAAAAACTTAAAATAGGAAATTATATACTTGTATAATTTTATATTTTAAAATACTTGCAATGATTTGTTTTTGAATAAAATGTATATACCATGTAGTATGTTGTGTTTATTTACTCATAATCTTCTTTTAAGTGTTTCAGGCTGCATGTACCAAGTAGTTCAGACGATTGGCTTGGATGGAAAAAATCTTCTGCAGTTACTTCCAATTCCTAATTCTTCTGGAAATTCTATACCACTAGTTCAATCTTCAGTCATGTCTGATGGTTTAAAGGGGAACACAGGAAAACCAGTTCAAGTTACTTTTCAGACTCAGATTTCCAGCTCTTCCAAAAGTGCATCAGTTCAATTGCCCATTTTTCAGCCAGCCAGTTCTTCAAACTATTTTCTTACAAGAAAAGTAGATACAGCAGAAAAAGGTAGAGTTACTACTGTGAGAACTGAAAGTTTTACTTCATCAGCTTCTAAAGTTAAGAGACATGGTATAAAAATGGATGGACTTACCATGCAAACATTTGCTGTTCCTCCGTCCTCAACACAAAGTGGTTCATCTTACATTGTAGTCAATACCCAGAGTCTTCCAGTGACTGTGAAATCTCCAATTTTGCCTTCTGGGCATCATTTACAGATTCCAGCCCATGCTGAAGTGAAATCTGTACCAGCATCATCATTGCCTCCTTCAGTTCAACAAAAGATACTTGCAAGTGCAACCACAAGTACCTCGGGAGCAATGGAGGCCTCCCAAATACCAACTGTTATTTATGTATCGCCTGTCAATACAGTGAAAAATGTAGTTACCAAGACTTTTCAGAATATTTACCCAAAACCTGTTACAGAAATAGCAAAGCCAGTGATACTAAATACCACACCAGTTCCAACGAATGTTGCTACAGAGACGCAGTTAAAAGGTGGTCAGCATTCTCAAGCTGCTCCAGTGAAATGGATTTTTCAAGAAAATCTACAGCCTTATACTCCAGCTCTTACTCCTGTTAAATCTTCAAATAATGTGGCTTCAAAGATTCTAAAAACTTTTGTAGACAGGAAAAGTTTGAATGATACTATAAATATGCCACCATTGAGTACCTTCAGTCCTAGTGGGACACAATCCATAAGTATGCCTATTAAAGATAATGCTTTGGTTATGTTTAATGGGAAAGTCTATCTATTGGCTAAGAAGGGTACAGATGTTCTGCCATCACAGATTGACCAACAGAATTCTATTTCTCCTGATATTCCACTAAGAAAAGATGTATCACGGGTAGTGAGTTCAAGTCCAGTAACAGAAATATCCAGAGAGGTTTTAAATATTATTCTGGCTAAAAGTAAATCTTGCCAGATGGAGACAAAATCATTTTCAAATACCTACCTTGCTTCCTTGGCCAATCTAAGGGCAGAGAAGAATAAAAATATGGAGAAATCATCTCTCTCTACCACAGAGCCACATAGTATGAATCAATCCAGTAACTACCTAAAACAGAGTAAGACTTTATTCACAAAGCCAGTCTTTCCAGATGGACTTAGTACAGGACAAAATGCCCCCAGAAAAGGAAATACCATCCAGTGCATAGAGAAAATAAGTTCCTCTGTTGATGCAACAACTGTTACTTCACAACAGTGTGTGTTCAGAGACCAAGAACCAAAGGTAATTTTCCCATGTCAGGGTATTTATATCTATATATATATAGCAAATTTTTCTTTCTTAGTTCTCAAAGTTATCTATGATGCTTCTGCCCCACCCCATTTCATTGCACACACGAATGCTTAATTAAGTCAAAGATTTCATCTGAGTAAATATTTGAGAAGAAACAATTGGGAGAATCAAAGCATATATTTCTGTTGAATCATTTGGTATGCCAAATCTTTTAAAAAAACAAATCACAGAGCCAAAAGGTTTAGAAGAATTGGGGGAGGGTAATGTGATTTCAAAGCTTAGTAAAATTTGTGTGTGCATGTGTATATTTGCATACATATGTACACATACATACATATTTGCATCTAATTGCCTGCTTTTAGTAAGTGAATATGGATATAGGAGAGATTTTTTGTGTGTGTGATGGTAGTAGAAAGATTCTTAGAAAATTTTTTAGGTAGACTGGAAAGGGTAGGACAGGGCTAGTCAGTACCTTTTAGTCATCTGTGGAAATAGGCTTTTATCAACATTTTGGGCTGGTGGGATTTTTTGTTTTGTTTTGTTTTGGTAGAAAAGTTACTTTTTTCCTCCTTTAGCCCTTCTTTCTGACTCTTCACCCAATTACCCAACATACCCTTCTATGCTAGTTAAGTGTTTATGTGCTCATTAAATGTATGTACCCACCTTTTCCTTGCATACTTAGACATATACATAACAATATTAGCATCTCTCCCTTTCAGTTACAGAATTCTTTGAAGTACAGAGATGTAAGGAGGTAAATTCTGATTGTTAAGTACTAAGTTGATTAAAGGTGTGAGGTTTTTCCCGAAGACTACAATTTCTAATATTACATAGATTATTTTTAAGTTGTCATTAGCTTGTTTTTACATTTCAGTTGCATGAGAATTGACTACTTGGAACCTTTCTAGTGCAACCAACTAAATGTGAAGTTGTAAGGAAATATTTTATTTGTACTCAGTCAGTTTCTCAAGTGTGCAGGATAAGGCAATGATAATGCAAACCAGCCATTTAGGATTTTCAAGTGTGGTATATTCTCGTGTAAGATTAGATAATCAGTTGTTTGCCTGATAAAATAACTTGAGTACTTAACAGTTCTGTTTGTATTTTCTTGTCCTAATTCCAGATCCAGAATGAGATGGCATCGACATTAGAAAAAGGTACTCAAGAAAGAAATGAAAAGAAGGATCCTCAAGGAAGAAGTAAGGCATCTTATCTGAAGAGTGATGCTGAATTTAAAAAGATATTTGGTCTCACCAAAGATTTGAGAGTACGCCTTACTCGAATTCCTGACCATTTGGGTTGTGGAGAAAGTTTTGATTCCTTTAGCAGTTTAGTGAAGAGTAGTACTTTGAAAGAGACAGAGCTTATGGTGAAAGAAGAAAGAAAACAGGTAATAAATTTTAAATTCTTTTTGGTAGGTACTATAAAATACATGGTTATATTAATTTTTGGTTTTTAGCCCTATATATTATATGAATTATGGTTGTTAACCAGATTTGTAGAAATATGTGCAATATCAAAATCATTTTAATAAGAATCCTGTATATATATATATATATATATATATACAGTTGAAATGCATCCCCACGTTTTTATTCACCTAGTGTTTATTTTTCTGTTGTAATGTTATAAGAAAATGGCCCTACCTTTTTAACTAGTTACCCTACCTTGAAGACTTTAGATTAAAGGAAATAATGCAAATACAGTATAATATATAAACATGAAGATGCTAATTACAATATTACTCTTATTACAAATAATTCAAGCAACCTCTTAATAGTCAGTAATGCTGAAAAGAAATGTTCCTATGTCTACTGTCATTCTACTTATAAATATATCATTATTATCTAATACTCTGAACTTCAGAGCAGCCTTTCCAGTCTAACCCTTCCCAGTGAAGATCTTCCATGTGTTACTAATTACAAAGGAAAATAAATAATTAAATCAATAGTATTTTTTGACTGGATCATAAGTGATGTTGTTTTGGTGGTAGGTCAGAATGGCTTCTAATACTTGATGGAAGCAGTAAAATAAAAATGAAGCGATTTATTCTCAGTATAATTAGGCTATTGCTATTCATACTGATACCATACAGTGGGAAACATTTCTTTTTGCTATGCTTTTCATTGAATTGACTTTCATTGCTAAGTATTTCTATCTGCAAACACTGTTAAATTTGAGAGTTCATTGTTTATATGGTAATAACATTTTGCTTTTCTTTTGGAATCGTAACATTGCAACAGAGTTTTGATAAGAAAAGGAAAGCGAAAACCCCTAAGAAGATGGATCGCACAAAGAGAAGAAAAACTAAGAATGCTAGTACCACAGTTATCAATGGGGGAACCAGTGCCACCAGTTCCCAGTTCAGTATTTTATCAGCTTCAGATGTATCACAGCATAGCATTGTCACAAGCCACAGCAAAACCAGAGAAGAAAAGAAAACTGAGACAGAGCACTGTACCCACGAGAAGCAGGAGAAAGTTGCATTGCATTCCAATGCAGTTTTTGAACAAGGTCATTCCTTTAATAAAAATTATACTGAAGATATTTTCCCAGCGACACCACCAGAATTAGAAGAAACCATTCGAGATGAAAAAATAAGAAGACTTAAGCAGGTGCTGAAAGAGAAAGAAGCAGCTCTTGACGAAATGCGTAAAAAGATGCAACAAAAATAAAATGTCCTATACTTAAAGACTTCAGTGAAATAACTGTTTTTTTTTTTTTTAAGATGCTATTGGCTGAAATACAGTAGTCCCTCCATATTCACAGGGAATATGTTCCAAGACCCCCAGTGGATGACTGAAACTATGGATAGTATTGAATCCTATATATACAATCACTGGGGTCCCATCACAGTTAACCTGATAGCTGAGATGGCTGCTGTGTGACTCATGGGTGGAAACTGTATATCGTGTTGATATGCTGGACTAGGGGAGATTTTTCATCACACTAAGGATAGCTTGCAATTTAAATTTATGAACTGTTTGTTTTTAACTTTTTGGACCATGGTTAACCATGAGTAACAAACTGCAGAGAGTGCAGGGGGGGCTACTGTAAGTAACTTTTAGATGCATTCCAAAAGTATCTTTGAATATGAAATTTTTTTCTTCATCAGATTATAACATTGTATTTAAGGAATACAGAAAAGGGTGATTCACATATGACTTGTGAATAATCTACATGAGGTATCTGAACCTTTGTCCTAGATACCTTTTTTTGGAAGGAAAAGTTTTATATTTTTCTATTATTTTAACTTGAATTTCCCAGGTTTAAATATTTGTGCAAGGTTTTTTGTTGTATCTTTAGCTAAATTGCTCAGGTGTTACTACAACAATAAATAATTAGTGAAATTCCACAACCCAAAAAAGAAAATTGGTTCTAAACTTGACTTTCCTAATGAGTTTGTATATGCACTTGCTTGATCTCTTTACCCATAAAATGTTACCTTCTGCTTGCCGTTGTTGTTGCTATTTTTTATTTCATGAAAGAAAATGCACTACAACATTATTTGAATATTTGCACATTTCTCAACAGTGAAAGACATTTTTGTAACTTTACGAGGTAATTTTATATAATCCAAATAGAACATATATGGAATTCAGGCTATTTGATATATTGTTTACTTAATGTGATCTTAGGCAAATGCTGCTGCTGTTGCTCCTGCTTTGAAGTAAGTGTACATTTTAATAACATTTAATAACAAAATGCAGACCTGATCAGTGTTCACATTTAATACCTTTTAAATTGTAAAGCATTTTTTTAATTGAGAGACATTTTTCTGTCTGATTAATTTTTGATTTGGGAGAGTTGGGAGTGGTATGGGGATAAGGATTAAGAATGCGGAGGAGGAAAAGATTATAAGAGGGTGATTAACATCCCTGGAGGCTTAAAAAAAAAGTGCACAGTGCAACAAAAAAAGAGTAAATCACAAAATATTGAAAAGGAGTGAAACAAATGTAACAGATTTATTAAGATTCAATTCAACATAAGATAAAATGCACCCTCTACGAGTGGTTTACAAGCATCAGCACTCTTAATTTCAGACCATTTTCACCAACCTCCAAACTCCATACTCATTAGCGGGTGTTCTCCATTCCCTAATTTCCACCCTAGGAAACCATTGATATATTTTTCTATCCATAGTGTTGCCTGTTGTTAACATTTCATCTATGTGAAGCCATAGAGTATTATTTCTTTTGTGATTGGTTTATTTCATTTAGCCAGATGGTTCCAAAGTTTATCCGTGTGGCAGCATGTGTCATTATCTGTTGCTGACTAATATTTCACTATATGGATATACAGTCATCTTTCCTTATCCTTAAGGGATTGGTTTTGGAACCCAAAGGATCCCAAAATGGTCAGAGGTTCAGATCCCAAAAATAAAGTGTCATAATATTTGTGTATAGCCTATACACATCATATTGTGTATGTTAACTCATTCCTCATGTACTTAGTACAATGAAAATGCTGTATAGATAGTTGTTTATTGTGTTCACAATATTGAAAAAAGCCTGTACATGTTCATTACAATGCAAATTGTTTTTTAGTATTTTCAATTGTGTTTGTAGACTCCACAAATGTGAAACCCACAAATACACATTGCCGACTTACTACACCTTATTTATTCATTCATCTCTTAGGGACATTTTGGTGATTGACACTTTGGGCTGCTAAAATAATGTTGCTATTAATGTTATGTGGACATTTGTTTTCATTTTTCTGGAGTATACATCTAGGAGTTTAATTACTAGATCCTACAGTAACTCTGGATTAATATTTTGAGGGACTGCCAAACTATTCCTGTGAGGTTTTGTTGTCCCTACTCCAGTAAAACATCTTGCCAAGGATATCAGTGATGTCTGTTTTTCCAGATCTGGTGATAAACTGTCAGTCTTATCAGCAGAATGTAATTTAATGAATCATTACTTCCTTTGAAAAATATTTAGAAGTAGTGTGCACATGTTGTGAAAAAATCAGAAAATACTGCAATCCAAAATACTAAAAATTAGAACTTCACACTCCCATCCATCCAGAGTTCACCACTGATAGTACCTTAATGTAGATCCTTTTTATCTTCCTTTGTGCTCCGTGTATATGATTGGTGGTTTTGTAACTAGGGTTCTTATGCATACTATCCTGAATCATTTCTTAAAAAAAGTTTTTAAGGTGAACAAATTTCATGTATTTCATACATACAGAGTTAGGAACATAGTGATACTTACCACCCTGCGCTCCCTCCCACATGCTCCCAGCCTCTCCTCCTCCCTCTCTTACTCCCTCTTCAGTTTTTTCAGTGATTTGCTTTCAGATTGCTTTATACTCATAAGATTAACCCTACAATAAGTAAATAGTTTAACAAATAGAAGAAATAACAACACTGTTCCTCAATGGTAGAGTACCAAAAAATGTAACCCATAGGAGTGAAATTGCTATTTTGAGATTCAATGATTGCTTGCAGCTCTTTACTGTTGAATATCCTGCTTTTGAAGTTAACAGTCTTTAGCTTTTCCTTTCAGTAAGTTTTCAACTCTTTACTACTCAAGCCAGATTCACCCAGGATATCTTTTATAGCTGGTTTTGGCAAAGCAGTTACTAAATGTATTTTATCTAGCTATTAGAGCCTGTAGAGCTCTTTTAATGCAGTACACGTTTTAAAAAATGGTATTTATTTAAAAGACCAGTCTCTTAACCTGACACTTTTATCCTTGGTAGTTTTTGCTTAGAGAAGACCATGTTTCTCCTGCCTCACTTGGTAATTCCTTCTCTTCTCCCCAATCAATGTTTTTTAAGTACCCCAAGTCTTAGTCCTTGGTTTGCTTCTCTGCTTATACTGACTTTCTTGGTAATCTCATCCAGTTTCATGGCTTTAGACACTATATGCTGACAACTCATGAATTTTTATGTTTACTCCCAAACCCTCTCTCTTGAATTCAAACTTGTATAGCTAATTGTATATTTAGTATCTCTATTAGATGTCCAAAGAAACATGTGAAACTTATGTCCAAAAGTGAAATTGTTCTCTTTTCCTGGACCAGTTTCACACAGTATTCCTCATTTGAGCTGATGACAGCTCCATCCTACCAGCTGGTCAGGCCAAACATCTTGTTCTACTTGACTCCTTTCTTTGAAGCCCCATACCCAATAAAATTCAATTAGTCACAGTTTCAAAATAACCCAAACTAACCACTTTTCATCTCCAGTTCTACCTTTAACCCTGAACTGGGTAGTTAGCCTCATTAAGGGTCTCTCCCCTACCTTTGTACGTCTTTGGCCTATTCTCAGCACGATAGCCAATGATGAGGCCTAGGAGATTCCTCATTATCCTCTGTTAAGGAATAGATAGCCAAGGTGACCAAGCAAGTACATTTCTTTGGTTCGTAATATGCTAGTAATGTCTGATACACTCCTTCAGTTTCTGTCCAGATCATAAGGTGGAATGCTGCCCCCCCCCCAAAAAATAATGGTTGAGGAAAAATTAAAAGAAAATCGAGCATTAAATATGCAAAAGGGCAGGCCTGCACTGTGGCTCAATAGGCTAATCCTCCGCCTGTGGTGCCGGCACCCCGGGTTCTAGTCCCTGTCGGGGCACTGGATTCTGTCCCGGTTGCCCCTCCTCCAGGCCAGCTCTCTGCTGTGGCCCGGGAATGCAGAGGAGGATGGCCCAGGTCCTTGGGCCCTGCACCTGCATAGGAGACCAGGAGAAGCACCTGGCTCCTGGCTTTGGATCAGCGTGGTGCGCTGGATGCAGCATGCCAGCCACAGCGGCCACTGGGGGGGCGAACCAACGGCAAAGGAAGACCTTTGTCTGTCTCTCTCTCTGTCCACTCTGCCTGTCCAAAAAAAAAAAAAAAAAAAAAATGCAAAAGGGTAAGTGGTTGGAGTGGAAGGACTTTCCTAGCAGGTGAAACATTTACAGGTTGAGAGAGCATGGCATCTAAGAACTAGAAGGCACATGTAGCTGAAACTTGAGAGCATGGTCTTAATGGCAAGAAAGAGGTTTAATTATTGAAGAGATGGATGAGGCGGAGCTGATCTTTACTCCTTTGAGGATGATTTGATTATCTTGCCTGGAGACTTCATTTTTTTTAAAAATGCTTTTAATTAAAATAACCTTGTCACTGTCTGATTTGTCCAATAGTTACTGAATGTTTGTTTTCAAATAGCTCAAAAGGTTTTATTGAATTACTTCTTCAACATGAGTTGAACTGCCTTACATGGCCTTTCTTCAGGTCAGGAGGGTTGTCCTGTGTTAGATCGTAGCAGAGGAACACCAACCCCTTTCAGAGCCCTTACCACTTCTGGGCCCCTAGGCACGTCTTTTGGCAAAAATTGTGAGGCATGTCACCCCCAATATCAAGTGGGCCTGGGCTGCCCTGAGCCACCTCAAGATGTTCGATGAATCCCGTAGCCCTATGACAAGAGCAAGCGGATGGTGGCTCCTGCAGCCTTCAAGGTCATGGGCCTGAAGCCTAGGATAGTTTGCCTACCTGGAGTGCCTGATGCATGGGATTGTCTGGAAGTACCAGGCAGTGAAAGCCACACTGGAGGAAAAAAGGCAGAAGGCCAAGATCCATTACCTGAAGAAAAAGTTCATGGGTCTACAGAAACAGGCCGAAAATATAGTGAAGAAAATTAATGGGCCCGGTGCCATGGTGCAACTGGTAAAGCTGCTGCCTGCAGTGCCAACATCCAATATGCACTCTGGTTTGAGTCCCGGCTATTCCACTTTGATCCAGCTCTGTTATAGCCTGGGAAAGCAGTGGAAGATGGCCCAGGTCCCTGGACCCCTACACCCGCTTGGGAGACCTGGAGGAAGCACCTGACTCCTGGCTTCGGGTTGGCGCAGCTCTGGCTATTGTGTCCATCCGGGGAGTGAACCATCAGATGGAAGACCTCTAACTGCCTCTGCCTTTCAAATTAAATCTTTAAAAAAAAATTAACATTCACAGAGATCCCCAAGATTCATGGGCTCCTGGTCTGAGCCCAATAAAGACTATTCCTCATGCTTAGCCTGGTCTGCCCTTATTATATCTGGGAGCCTGGGACCCAGAGAGCTGGGGCAAAAGCGGGCCTCAGGCACTTCTCCTATGGGAGACATTCCTGCAAGTCAAAGCTCGTAAGAGCTGTGCGGACACGACTGGTTTGTTACCTGCTCAGGATCATTTCTTTAGAAAAGATTTGCATGGATGAGCTGGAGCACTCATTGGAGGGGAGCCCCGCATTGTGAATGGGAAGGTCTGTGGCTCAACTTCCCACTTGGTTCTGTATACCCTGCAGCTGATAGAATGTGAGGAATGGCTGGGGCCTGCGTTGTGACCTAATGGGTGAAACTGCTGCCTGTGACACCACCATCCCATATGGTCCCCTGTCCCCACGTGGGAAACCTGGAAGAAGCTCCTGGCTCCTTGCTCCTTGGCAGTTATGGCCATCTTGGGAGTGAACCAGGGGATGGAAAATTCATAATGTCCCTCTCCTCTCCTTCCCTGCCCCCCTAATTCTTTCAAACAAATAAAGTAAGTTTGAGAAAATGCTTGGTGTACTGTGGTCCTGGTGTTGTAGAAAGGGTATTTATAGGTGCACAGCCTGGGAAGATGAGCAACCAGGGATCATGGACATTGCCTTTGCAACTTCCTGTGTTTTGTTTCTATAACATGACTTTAAAGAAAAAAAAATGCTTTTAATCAAAATCTGTGCATGATTTTTCAGCTCAATATTTATGGAATGTTTATATAGTTCAAAAGTTTTAGTGAATTTTTCAACACCATATGTTCTTTACGTGACCTTCAGATCAGAGGAGTTTTCTTGTATTAGGTCTTATTGCTTCTGATGCGTATGTTATAGACTCTCATTCAAGAGAAAGGGTTATGCACATTAGCTCTCTGGTCTCAGCTCTTTTATTTTTGATTGTTGAGCAGGTATTCATATAACTAACACATTCTAATTTTTTATTTACTTCATTGTTAGTTTCAGTTCCACTATGTGTTTGGTCTCCTTGTGTTTCTTCATTGATGTTTGCTGTTAGGTTTTTTTCTCCCCACTCTACACTCCACACAGTTGGGTAGCAGTCTGCGTTTAGGTGATGTTAACCTTAAGAGTTAACCATGATAAGTTCAAATCAGCAGCCCCTAAGCTTTCTTTATGGCGTTTTTAGAGTCCCAGAAACTTATTCATGCTTGGACCAAAAGAAATATTAATTGGCTAGGTCTTATGTAGCATAACACATTAACAATTAACATGGTAGTTTAAAGGAATACCTTTTTTTTTTTTTTTAATTTCACAGATCTGTAGGTCCTAGGTCCAAGTGGGTTTGGTTGGATTCTCTGTTTAGGGTCTCACAAAGCCAAAATCAAGGTATCACTCAAGCTCTATATTAGAGGAAAAAATCTTTCAGGCTCATTCAGATTGTTGACAGAATCCAGTTCCTTATGATTATTGGACAAGTTCCTATTTTCTTTTAGATGGCATCTGAAAACAGCTGTTGACAGTGGCTTTCCAGGCTGTGAGGTCCCCTCTTCCTTAACAACCAGCCATGCTGCCTCAGATTGTTCTCACACTGGGAGTCTCCCTAACTTATGCCAGTAGCCATGAAGCTTCTTTCAAAGGGCCCATGTGATTAGAACCACTCTGGCACTATAAATTAATCAAGGAAGTGATATCATTCCAAGGCTCACCCACACTCAGAAAAATCAAGGATCCTGGATTACCATTAGAATTCTGCCCACTGCATGCACTAACATATTCGTATTCATTCGAAGAAATATAGAAATTGAAGAAAATTTAATAGAACAGTGTTGGAATCGTCTGACTGTTGGGCACTATATATCTTCTCAGGTTTTGGAATCACGTTAGACACTACCACCCTTAATTCCTGTTCTACATTATTAGGAATGCAATTTTATCACAGCAATTATTGAAGGGGGAGAAATAATCTTTATATAGATAATGAAATACAGCATGGTTTAGTGTTGAAGCTGTGAACTATTAGAAATAGTACTTCATGCAAAGTCCAACAGATAGTATGTATCACCCTTAAAAATTTAAGGTAACTTACTGCAGCTCCGTAAGTTTGGTGAATTGAGGACCCTCAGTGCACAGTTTGGGACTAGCAAATCTAAATCAATGTGATTCATCTGCAGAACCATTGTAGCTCATGGCATTCTGGCCACAGGGATTGGTTCAGGTGTAGTCCTTAGCAAGATTTTCCCAGGAAGTTGGGATAATAGGCACTTTCCTTCTAGGGTCTAAAAGGACTGGGACTGTTGGAGCTATATTGCCATACGGAAGCAGGCCAGCATGAAGATGAAGCCAACACATGGAAATGGGCAAAGCCAACACCATCAAAACACAGAGTCAGAGACCTGACTGAACAGTGACTGAAGTCATAGTTACTTCTACTTCTACCTCTGGATTTTATAGTCATACAAGTATGATCCACAGGTTGTCAATCTGAGCTGAGTTTTCCCTAACACCACTTATTTGACATATTCATTCTTTGTACATTTTAAAATATATACTATATACATATATTCATTAATTTTAATGAAGTTCCTGCTATTTACTAGGCACGTTTTTAGGTACTAGGGACATAATGGTGAATGACAAAATCCCTTCCTTCGTGGAGTTTAGAGCAGTGAAGAATGAAATTTAGGGGCTGGCATTGTGGTATAGCAGGTTATGCCTCTGCCTGCAGTGCTGGCTTCCCATACAGGCGCTGGTTTGAGTCCCGGCTGATCCATTTCAGATAGCTCTCTGCATATATGCCTGGTAATGCATAGGAAGATGACTCAAATACTTGGACATCCATGCCCATACATATATATGTATATGTATATGTGTATATATATATATGCAATGTAGATAGATAACATCTCCAAGCATATTAAGTCTACTGTTTTCCAATTGAATTTTTAAATATCCTATATAATGATCTTGCAAAAATTTTTGAAGATTTATTTCCACACTTGAAATTTTGATATGTGAAAAATTGTAATTAAAATATTTTAATATGAAGAATTATAACTCTAAAAGTACTTAATGGAACCCATTGTATATATTTATTAGTATACTAGATGTTTTCTTTCAATTTTTTCATGTCTTAAAGATTTATCCATTAATTCATTTCATTGTTGTGTGGTATATCATTGTATGAATATACCATAGTTTAGACATTTTATTGTTGATAGACATTGAGTCTTTTCCCAGTGTTGCCTGTTACAGACAATGCTTTCATAAGGAGGCAACCATTTAGCCTAGTAGTTAAGATGCCTGTGTCTGACATCAGAATGCCCGTGTTCAATTCTTGGCTCTGGCTCCCAGTTCCAGCTTATTTCCAATGCAGATCCTGGGAGACAGCAGGTATTGGCTCAAGTAAATAAGTCCCAGACATCCTTGTAGGAGGCCTGGATTGAATTCCCAACTACTGGCTCTAACCCTGGCCCAGCCGTGACTTTTGTGGGCATTCAGGGAGTTAATCAGCAGTTGGGAGCTCTCTTTTAGCTTCTCGAATAAAACATAAAATAAAATTGTGCTTAATCCTTATATGTGTAAGCTCACATTTCTGTAGGATACTTAGGGTGGAATGGTTTTATCATGAATGATAGTACACTCCTGTATAAGGTGGTTATATTGTATATTCCTCGTCCTATGCAAACAAAAGCTAGTTCGTTTTTTAATTTCTTTATCTGAAAGTCGAGTTACACAGAGAGAGAAGGCGAGGCAGAGAGAGAGAGAGAGAAGAGAGAGAGGTCATCCATCTGCTAATTCACTCCCCAATTGGCCTCTACTGCAGGAGTTGTGCCGATCCGAAGCCAGGAACCAGAAGCTTCTTCCGGGTCTCCCATGCAGCTGCAGGGGCTCAAGGACTTG